TTCCACTCTGTGACTCTGTGAACCCACCCCCTTGCCATGGGTCTTTCACTAGATCAGGTTGCTCAAAAGTCCTGTCCAACCCAACTTTGAACATTTCCAAGGAATCTGCATAATTAAATGAAGTTTTACCAGTGAAAGTTAACACTAAGCTCAGAAATGTTAATTTCAGGGTCCTGCACTGACAAGGCGGGATAACAACCCACAATCAAAGAACAACAGCAGCTGCTTTCTTAACTACAGTTAGGAGGCAACAAGTGACTAAGTATCCAGCTGGTCGTCTTTTACCCTGCTTAAATGCACACACAATTCCATGGTGACATGCAGAATACTCTGTTGATAGCTCATAATAAAAGACTTCATTCAAGACCAGATGCTGTTGTTTAATTAAAACCCAAAGCTATATAAATAAGGAACTTAGGTGCATACTGTCCCAAATTCTTCTGCACAATATGGCTCATTGGAATCATCTATTTCAGTTTTGTTAAGAAAGCATTATTTTTTTTTAAGTGGAACAGCATGGCTCATCCTTGCATAAAAAATGAGCCTTGTCCCATAAGAACAGCCCATAAATCATTCAAAGATACAAACGGACTTTAAAGAAATGGAGATAGAAATTCTGAAATTAAGCATTTGAAGGATGCCTAGAGCAGAATTACATTAGGGATGACACAGCATCTATGAGGTAAAGAGGTATGGAAGATGAAGCTGTGGGGACAGCAGGAGTTGTTCACATGACAGCAAGTTAGTGGGAGAGCAGGACACAAATCCACTGGAAATTAGGCTGTGCTTGATGTGGTGCTTGCAAGTTACTTTTTTGCTTTAAATGTTGTATTTCATAGAATCATAGAATCATTTGGGTTGGAAGGGACCTTAAAGATCATTCTTCCTGATTTCTATTGGAATCTCAAAGAATCTGGAACTACACCACCTGAGCCGTTAAAACACTTTGCATACTGTGAAGATAATTTGTTCCACAAGCCATACTGGTAAAACAGAAACAAAAGATCTACTTACATTGTTTGTAAATATCATTAATATCATTGAAGTCCTTCATGTCTGCCATCAAAACTGTAGTCTTCACAACTAGAAATGACATCACCGCGGTTATTTTGGAGCTCTGACTTTTGTATAAAAGTTGAAAATTTTTAAGGCATTTCTTGCTTTTATTTCATAAATTTCTCTCAAATGTTCTAAACATTTTGAAAAGTTTTGCAAGCAGCTATGGACAGTTAGAGCTACCACCTACAGAGCTCTCTAGAAAATCTGAATACCTAGCACATAATAAAACTTGAAGGAATTAAGACATTCCTGGCCAGCTCTGAGAATATCTGTTTTAAATTTTGTTCTAAGCCCAATTCTTCCAACAGACACAGAACTGATAAGCAGGTCAAATAAAACAGCTGTTTGTAAGCCAACTGTTGGCAAAAATGATTACATATATATATATATCAAATACTAGCTGCCAAAAAACCAGTCCATTAAAGGCCTGAAGATATAGTCTATGCTAGAATTTTTTACCCATGACTGCCCAAGCCAACATTAATCTTGGTTTGGCTCCACTAGTAAGAGACCTCCTCAAAAAGAGTCACTGAAAGTGCCTAGTGTTAATAGCATAGATACAGACCTGCTTTTACCTGGAGCAAAACCTAGGATGTTCAAAATGCCTGTAGTCAGTTGCAGCTCTGTCTACACCCAAGCTTTGTGAGTTAGAATTAAAATATTAGTACAGTGGACAGGAACTTATGGTGAAAAGTAGTGTCCCGTAGGTACCTGCCACAAACACATGCACATTCATTTCTTTCTTTTAATTTCTGACCCAGACCCACGATTCCTTTTGTTTCCTTCAGCTATTGATAACAACTGCATGTTTAGCAAATAGTTTTCTTTGTTTTCCCTTTAAAAGGTCATTTTTTAATCCAGGTAGGTAAAAAACAACCACTTGTTTGCCACCATCGCAGGCAACACTTACCGTTGCCATAGTCACAGCCTGCAGCTTTCAGGATTTCTCCCATGTTTTTCAGAGCCTAATGAAAAATGAGACAAAAATGTGTAAGTATCAGCTGGGTTGTGTGTAGGTAGGTATGTGAGGATGAGTCGTAATCTGGCTACATCCATGCTATAGTATAAATTCACCCAGCAAATCTTCAGCTGTCACCAGTAAGTAAGCAAAATCAGAACTAGGTTAAAGAGTAAATTAATAAAAGGGAGCTTCTAACAAACCACAAATATTAACCCATTTGTTCACTGGGTGTCAATGCATGATGCAGCGCCGTCTCATTGTACCTCACACTACCTCTTTGATGCTGAGGGAACGAATCCTTCCCCGTCTCAAAGCCGGAGTTTTTAACAGGGTCGGAATCTCTGTTACAAATGTTGATTCTTCTCCTACATGAAATACAGATTCCTCCCCTGACCTCCACGTTATTTTGGTGGAAAATGACAGGGATAGGATGGAATGACTTCCTCCTGCTTTTCCCTCATCTTGGAGGATGCGAAATGCACTCTCCAGGGCTCCTCAACTTCTCCCAAGTCCATGTTTAACTAATTACATGCCAACTCCATTGTAAGTTTATTGCTAGAAGACATCTTACCTGCTTAGCTTCTTCCTTTGCCCCTCCGGAGACAAGCTGCCCGGTGGAAGGTTCTATGCCTATCTGTCCCGCAATGTACATCGTCCGGTCTACCAGCACTGCTTGGCTGCAAATATACGTGACATTTTAGGTTTGATGTGTCTCCATCAAAACATTTAACTATCTGAAAGCACGCTTCACATTTTCTTCAGTAGTTTACTGTGTTTCAGAAAGATAGAGGACTGAGTTAGGCACACGCAAGTCTGCACACATGTCAGTCTGCTTAGGCTTTGGGAAACCTGGGATTAGATCACCTATAGAAAGACATAGCTACGTTATCATAGCTCTGGTTTTGAGGTAATAAACCCCATTTCATGGGAAGGCAAAAGCACAGAGAGGCAGCATAAAAAACCATTTCTTGCACCTGCCCAGATAAATATTCCATTCCAGTTTGATGGGTAAGCATTACCTTTCATCTACCTCTCAGTTACAAGGAAAAAAAAAATCCCAATCAAAAAAGAGCTGATTAGTAAATTTACAATTTTCTTCTCAAACAGGCCCCATGATAAACGAGTTACAGCTGTGAGGTGAAGCCCTGCGCGCTAGTGCTCTGGTGTTACTCCTCCAGAGTCATGAATTTGGCCCGTCAGCACACCACCTTGATCACTCCATTCGCAAAACACTCACTCTCCTGTCACAAAATAACCTGGCTGACCTGTTGGCTGGGTTAAGTCAGAAGAATGCAGAATTCAAGCTATTTACAAAACATTTTCATATAAATGTCAGGCGTGTTTTTGCTGAATTTGAGCAAATCGCTGAGTTGGCAAATGAATGTCTCTAATTACCGCAAAGAGATTAAAAGATTAAAGCAAAGATTTAAACTACCTACCAAACATTATGCAAGTGACATAATCTACTTCTCTTCAGCTGGTAATTAAAACTATTTTGCAAAGAAATTAGAGAAAGATTCTTTTGAAAATGTATGCGGTGTGTCAACACTGTTCTTCTTATCTCTTCCCATTCCACCAGAAAATGCATTATTTGGACATTTCAACAAGCCTCTCAAGTCACACAAACTGGAGTGAGGCACCTCCCTGACGTATCTAAATTAGGAGGTTAGCTTCCCTTTAATGTCAATACGGAAAGAAAGGGACTCTTTCAGAGAACGCTTTTTATATTACCTCTTCACTGAGATTGACTCAATTGGAGTGGCTCAATCCATTGACTTCCCTGGGGACCAAACTAATTTAGGGATTCAATAAAATTATTATAGTTACGCAATCTGAAAAGTGCCATCACTCCCTTCTTTCATTTTACCCCTGCCCTACATTCTCCTGTAATTAGGGGAAAAAATAGTCAGAAACTTCTCTGATGCAGTAAAATATATTACATGGTCATTATTTTATCTAACATTAACTAACAAAACTGGAGTAAATCCCAAAACTACACCATTTAAAGAAACTAGAAAATGAAGTAGTTTTCTGTCAATATTTCTATTTCATTAGCTAGAAAACAGGTGCATGAACCAAACACACATGCTGCTTTAATTTTATTTTCTTTCCTACCATGCCCTGCTTGGTTTGAGGCACAGGCACTCAGACCACAAACTTCTACCTGAAGCACAGAGGACAATGCAACAAGAAGGTATGAGCTCCCGAAAAGAAGAGATTGTCTTGTACTTCTTACTACAAAGCAAATGACACAAGGAAACATTTATCCCAACAAAGGCCTGCAGACAGTCCTAAATCATGAGGAATTGAGGAAAAAACCCCAAGTTGAAGCCTTCTGATACCACGGCCTGATCAACACCTGCAGCAGTCTTACTGAGGTCCCCTTCCCTGCTCCTCAGCTTTCTTCTCTTGGCATGCTTACCTGTGAATCTTCCACTCACTGGGGCTATTAACAATTTACCAGCTAAAGGGTGTACTTCTACTGCAGTCAAATGCATGGGTGAAGCCCAGAGAAACTTCAACTACACAAACCCCAATCCACTTTAACTGCAGTTAAAGCACATGCCTATGTGTAGATCCTATAACTAGGGTCAATCATAGCTACTCATTGAGTTCTGATTCAGCAGAGACCCGAGTGTGTGCCTAAAGTCATTCAGGTTTCAGCAGACCCAGGTGCGTAACTGGATGGACATGATGACCTTAGAAGAACATCATCCATCAGAGAGCTAGTGTTAGGAAGCATGCTCTCTACAGACAAGGGCTGCAAAGTTAATCAGATCTTCTTTATACAAATGACTGTTGATTAATACAAGAACAGTATCTCTGCTGTGTCTTTTTTAAAGTTTAATATCAGTAATGAAATGTGTATATATATATATACACACATACTCACACGTATGAGTCTTTTTATATATCTATTTACTTACCTATCTCAAGGTACTGGAAATTGGATCAGTAAGGAAATACAAGGGCCTGTAGTGACAGGACAAGGAGTAACAGGTTTAAATTGAAAGTGGGGAGGTTTAGATTGGATATCAGGAGGAAATTCTTCCCGGAGAGGCTGGGCAAGCACTGGAACAGGTTGCCTAAAGAAGCTGTGGATGCCCCATCCCTGGAATTGTTCAAGGCCAGGCTGGACGAGGCTTTGAGCAACCTGGTCTAGTGGAAGGTGTCCCTGCCCATGGCAGGGGGGATGGAACTAGATGGTCTTTAAGGTCCCTTCCAACTCAAACCATTCTGTGATTCTATGAAATACAAAAATACATTAAAAATAGGTCACCAAGAAGCATACTGAAGGGCTGCAGCAGACCCAGGAATGCAGCCCATACATCCCAATTCTCCATTCCACATTAAGCCCTCGTTCCTCTGTTACGACCTCCACACCAGAGCTGCAGCAGTTAGTTCTTGCGCAACTTTTGCTCAGTGGACTTTGACAAATTTACTGAAACCTGATAAACTAAGTTAGTGATAAACTTATTGATGTTAGACCCATCATACAATTAACAGGCTACATAATGAGAACTACCATTATAAGAACTACCATTAATAAGAACAAAATGTTGGAGTCCAACTAATCCACAACAGAAGTGGCAAGCTATGTTGAAGGCTAGGCCAGTTGGTGTGTGTGTACGTGTGTGTGCAGCTGAATAACTGTTGCCTTCCCATATCTTAGATGTTCCCCTAAGCATAAGTGCTGGCTGCAATCCAGTTAATTGTTTACAGAAGTTAACCTTCATGTCATGTCTCTCTGCTTCTATGCTTGGTATTTCTCCATCCTTATAATTCCTACAAAGAACACACTTTAAAGCTCAGAAAGCTCAGTTTCAACGTAATGGAAACAAAAATGCACCTGGGAGGCACTAAGATACTACAGGTGTAAGGGTAAGTGTAAGTGGTAACAGATTTAAACTGAAAGTGGGTGATTTAGATTGGATATCAGGAAAAACTTCTTCCTGGAGGGGGTGGTGAGGCACTGGAACAGGTTGCCCAGAGAAGCTGTGGATGCCCCATCCCTGGAATTGTTCAAGGCCAGGCTGGATGAGGCTTTGAGCAACCTGGTCTAGTGGAAGGTGTCCCTGCCCATGGCAGGGGGGTTGGAACTAGATGGTCTTTAAGGTCCCTTCCAACCCAAACCATTCTATCATTCTATAAGTGGAAAAGTTTAAACTAAAGGAATCTGTGTTTTGGAACTCTTGCAACTAACAACTTACTTGTGAAAGCATTGAACATAATCTTACATATTTTCACAGCAGTTAGTTTGCAGGCTAAGAAGCATTTAAACTTCCTGGCAGTCACATTCGAAGTAAGAAAAGATTTCCCAGGCAGCGAACTCTCCAACTGCCAAAGCCCGTGATTGGGCTCAGCCTTCCCTGCCCATCGCCGCCTGTGCATCACTCTTTTTGCTCACGCCGGGGGAGAAGCACCTCCACTACAGCCCCCAGGGAGGCCTGGCAGATCCCCCTTCTCCCCCTTCAGGGACCCACTCGAAATCCTGCCGGCAAAACCTACTCCTGCTTCTTCCGCGAGCCCTCCCTCTCGCTGAGGCATACCTGTAGGGGCCCAGTGCAGCAGGAGCCTTCGCAGAGGTGATGATCTTCTTCACGAGCGAAGCCATACC